TTTGTCTGAAAAATGGCATAAAAGCCTCCTCCTTCCTGCCTCATGATTTGGTGCTGTCATTTTTGTTGCTGATGATGGCAGTCTTGCTACAAGCAGCTTTACTTGGGAGCTCATTGGCAAAGTCTTTACAAAATGGTGACTATTTAGTTATGATAATTGGGAAATCAACTAAGTTTTGTTGAGTTTGGAAAGGAATATTTTGCTTCCCTCAGTTGTCTCTTTCTGTACTCATCCTTTAACGCTGTTTTCTTGAAGTCCTGTGTCATGTAGTAGGTTTTTACATCAGAAACTCCTACCAACCCCAACATTTTATATTGCACAAAGACACAATCTGTTTGGATTTTCACACATTTCTCTGGACAGATGCATATGCTCAGAAGATAAGAATAGTGTAAGCTTGAGATCTTCATATTTCAATCCTTTTTTTTTTCTTTTTCAGCAAAATTCCCCTGGCTTTACATTTTTATTTTGTTTCTTATCCTATATGAGAACCTGACTCTCTCCCTATTAGTGGCAAGATGCATGTGAGCACTTCCAGATGCTTTGCCAGTGTGTGGGTGCCTATAGCTCACTTTGATGCACTGTTCAGATCAGACCTTTCTGAGACTGGTGAAACACAGCTCTGAAATCTGCAACCTGCACCAGGGAGAGGAGTGCAATATGCTGAACTCCTGTTAATTACAGAGAATTAAAATAAGCCTGCCTCGGCTGCTTCTGTGAGACAGGCTTGCTCTATTTGAACACCAACTTTGATCCTAGACAAATTTTAGGATAAATCACAAATATGTCTGCTTTGGAATAAATCTATGCGGTGTTTCTAGATTTACATTCATAAAGGCTCAGCTAACACTAATTAATTTGGAATAAGTTAGCTTAAACTGGAACAGGGCCATCAATTCTAGCCCAGATTTGTACTGGGTGTTATTTAGCTATGTCTTTCATAAAAAAATAATGTTATGTATATATGTTTACAAACACACATTCACATATATTCCATAATGCATTTTTACTGCCAATCTTCTAAGTTCCAGTCAGTGGGCAGCTTGAAGTGTTGGTCAACATCAGGGAGAAAAAGCTTTCGAGTTTATGGAGCATCTTTCAAGAGAAACGTGTTGGAGATTGCTCCTTATTTGATATTTCTTTGTTAAAATAACTTATCGCACCTGTTGATGGAGAAGTCAAGGGAAGAATGAGGAACACGAAGCTGAATAATGCTGTGGCACACTCATGCCATGGTGCTTGTTACTGTATGAAAATGGCCTGAGGCATTGCTGGGTCCTTCTAAACCCGTGTAAACTGCAGATACTTTCATTAAAAGTAGCCTGTTGTATAAGTGGCTTTTATTTGTTAAACATAAGCAGGGTCTTAACTGTTGCTAATTGGAAAGGGGATGAATATTTGTAAGTTTCCCTCCTCTACAGTCTTAGGAATGATAAATGCAAATCTTACAGAGTTGGTGCCTGAATTATAAGATAAGCTTTCTATCTTGGCAGATAAGTCTATTTTTGTAGACCAAGAGCTGTTATGTTCATCACTTGCAAGTTCGGAATAAAATGTGCTCAGGAAGGCTCTACACCCACTTACAGAGTCCAGCAGCCTCCTGCTGTCTCAGTTAGCCCTCTGTGGTCTCCATGTCAAAACTATTGCACTGACTCCTTGTCTCCTCTTTTGGAGATGTGACAAATGCCTGTTAGATCTTTCTTTGTGCATCTCTTGGTTGCTGAGGTATAAGAAGAAGAAGAAAGCCAAGTGCTCAGATGAGGTGTTGAAAGATTTGCCTTGTATAGAGAAAGACGAACTGTAAGAGAAGGAAGGGAACAAAAGTTCTGGTTGTTCTGTTACCTGATTGATATTGCCAGAAGAACATGGGATAAAATACTTGGAAAGGGAAGTGTTCTCCACCATTCTAGTGTTCCATGTTACAGGGAAAAACAGGCATTTTGAAAAAGACTTGTGTCATCTGCTCGTAACTACATGTAACTACACAGACAAAGGCTATGTGCTTTCCTGCCACACTTCTCAGACCCATTCTGCATTCACAGTGCTGGCAAACCTGTGGATGAGGAATCATATCTGGTGTGGCCAGAGGTCCACTCAAAGCAGGGTCCTGCCTTCCTGTTCTGTTTCTTTGGCTTCTGTGATATTGATCCATGCTGGAATGTTTTGTTGGGGCCGTGACTGAGGCTGCTAAAGGCCCAGGGGTAATGTACAGCCAATTTCTAGTACACCTACCATCAGAGCCAAGATCTTTGGTTACAAATAAAGTTGTAAAGAAATCTGGCAGAGGCAAGCAAGGGTCAGGCAGCTATAATTTCACCAGAAAATACACTGCACCTAATTTTCTCCTGTCTCTTTCCCCCCACTAGGGGTCATATTGTAAACGATCACATCTAAGCTTTCCCAGGCTTAAAAGATATAATGTGATTGGAGTGGAGGGGAGAGCAAGAGGAGCCCTCAGTGCTGAATGGAGTCATCCCTGTGAGCTCCAGGACCAAGGCGTGCCTCCAGGACAGGGGAGAGTGATGGGAACAGCAGAGGCTTTCTTCAAACAGCTGTTTAGTTTTTTGGACAGATGAACCAGCTGAAGTGTTTCACTTGTTCTGGGATGTTTAGAGAAAGATGTTTGCGAGGGGATGGTGTTTTTCCTTTATTAACCATTTCTAGTGGTCCCTTCTGGGTCTCGGAGTGCATGGATGAAGGCAGGGCATGGCCTGATCAGTGTGAATGAGTGTTTGTGGAAATCAGCTGCTTGGCAGGGGCTTCACATTGCACACCAGAACTGAGGGTGTGTTCAGGGCTAGGGAAAGACAGGAAACTGAAGCCATGTTTGATGTTTGAAGCCAGATTTTCATGAACTTCTTTCCAGTGTCAGATGTACGAGGCAGCTGATGCTCTGCTGTCACATCTCCCCAAGGCAATTTACAGCTTCATGGGAAACAGTCAGCGAGCATCTACCTTGTAAGCAATACTGGCAGCAAAGAAAGATTCTTGTTAACTTAAGATGAGTCACGGTGACCTTTGCTCTGTGTTGTAGGAGTCTGGCAGAGTAAGATCAGAAGTGGATAAAAGAGACACTTGAGGAAGGAAAGTCTGGAAAAAAAAGTAAATTTACAGGCTATGGAGAGTTTGCATACCTGATCTAACTGGGCTTCATACCCCTGTTAACTTGCCAGTCTTCCCATTTTCTCTGTTCACCCATTTAGGCTGCTCAGGAAAAAGGCAGGTTGGGGAACTTTGTTCTTTGCTCCAGGCTTTCATTACAGCACAAATTATTACCCACAGGACTTTGAAAATAAATATCCATTAGATCAGGCATCTGCTGAAGGTGTAGTGTGATGGGATTAGTTACTTCTGCATGACTTGACAAAAGACGTTTTCCAACAATGAATGTATAGAAACCTGCATTATTTGCCCAGTTCCAAACAAGTTCTTTAATTCATGCCTGCCCAGAGTAAACAGATGTAAGAGGGGAAATATGTTAACCCAGTGAGATAAAATAATGCAATGTTTTTCACTCACACCATGCTTTTCCTCTGGGGATTTCAAATCCCACTGCATTTACACTGATATACATTTCTACTAATTACGTTATTATAACTGCTGTATAAAAGCAGACCATTGAACTAATGTACCTGGAAATGTCTTGATAATTTAATTATCTGCATTAAAACTGTCAGCATAACAGCATAACAGAGAAACTTATGAAGTCAAATTTATTAGAGTAATTTAGAAACTAAAATGTTTGAGACACACAGCTGAGTAAATATGGATATTTTTGCACTGAGTGCAGTAAGACATTATCTTAGAGTACTCTCAGATGCTCCACTGAAATAGAAGATCAGAGCAAGTGAACAGAAAATTTTGATTTAAAAATATATGGACGTTTCTCTATCACATGGATTGTAGAAAACAACAGTTAAATATCTATGTGATGATGGCTAAGGGCTTAAAGCACTGAGGTCTTGAAGTGCTCTCCAGCAGAGCACATGGGCTCACATTTATTCATGGAAGTTGGCCTGTTGGCACCACTGGGCTGGCTGCCTGTTCAGAAGTACGTGCACATTAACCCAAAGCCCACACAGGTGTATGTGCTTTGCTGGTCTGGGGTGAGGGAGCTCAGAGGACCAAGTTGCAGCTGAAACATCAGAAGTCACCCATGAAGTCCAGAAGGCTGCTTTGTGCAGTGGGCTAAGTCAGCTGTTCGTGCTGGTCCTTCTTAGCAATTATATTTACAGAGCAGTGAAATATGCTCTTCCCACTTCCAGGAAGAACCTCTAATCCCTCTGAGTGCTGTTTTCAGCAGGGAATAAGCAGCAGCAGCAGCAGCACCAAGCTATGTGAAAGCAGGGTTTATGTCAATGCTGGTCCCCTGCTCACCACAGCCTCAGGAAAAGCCTCTGCTATTCTGAAAGCTGGAGTTGTAAAGTGCTTTGGGAGTCCTGTGGAACAAAAGATGTCGAAGATAAATGCCGTAATTTATAATACATGTATGCCTAGCACCAATTTCTACAGTAGCCTTGAATTATCTACATGCAGGAAGTTTGCTTTCTTTTCCCTTGGATATCTCACTGTCCTCTTTCTCCCATTTACTGCTCCACATGCCAGCTGGTCCCTCAAGGCCTTAAGTCACGCGTGCAGTCAGGGAGCAATGCCCAAGGCCTCTGCTGCTGAGTCACCTCCTGCAGGGCTCAGTGCCCAGCTGCATGGTGCCTTCCTTCTGACACGGCTTTCAGCCGTTGCTTCAGCATTCCTTCCCAGCAGCATGCTTTACTGCCACTGTTCCTGTAAATAATTTCAATTGGAATCTGGACATTACATCTGATGCATTCGGATCAGGCTTTGTTTCCCTTGTATGAAATCTCTGTAGTAATTAAAACTAGTAATAACCTTGTGATGAAGTTTAGTTTCTCTAGAAGATGCCAGCAGGGCATCACAGGGCATCTTGATAGCTGAGCCAACCTTTGGCTGGGATAAAAAGGCTCTCATTGGCAGGGCAGAGTGTGGGACTATGCCAAACTCTTCAGAAGCTACAAAAAGAGGAATCTGTGCCCTCCTGGTCGGTAGATTTTTCTAACGTAGGTGAGCATCTACATTCAAGCAGTGTGGGAGGGAGCATTGCAGAAGGAAAATTTACAACTGCAGAATCATAGAATGGTTTGTGTTGGAAGGGACCTTAAAGATTATCCAGTTCCAACCCCCCTGCCTTGATTTCATGAATTAGAGTTGATTTTGTGAATTTTGGGGTCCTGCAGCACACAGTGCTTCAGGCAGTCCTGCCTGCTGGCATCTACGCTGCACATGTGGTGGTGTTGTCCACATTTGAACCCTGGTAGCTGTCCTTTATTTTCTAGCATGATAGCAACATGAAAAGAGAAGTGTTTAACACAGGAATTTATCTTGTTTTGCACACTATATAGTGGGTGTACTTTCTACCCACAGGTATTTAGCATTTGGTACCTTTGCAAAGTCTGAGGCTGCTCACAATCACAGTTAGGCTTTGGGGTAAATCCATGCGTTTCAAAGAAGTATGAAGTAAGATATTCCTAAATTATCTCGGGTATTTGGCAGTTGGAAGCAGTCTTTTCATGTCGGCGCTGTGTTGTACCAACAGTTTGCCCAGCTCCCCAGCTGATTCACCCCATGTTGGTAGCCAAACACAATCGTGTAGAGCTACTGTGACTCTCTGGTTGTGCTACTGGGGCATTCTCTGTATGCTGGAGATGAGAAACTGCATCTTTAGAAATTCAGACACCATGAAGACAGTGAAAAGATGGATTGCCAGGCCATTACGTTAAAGATCAGGAGACATAGATATCTTACTCGTTTTTGATGACTTATTTCCATCATGGCTTAGTTTTTATTGCAAAGCCATGTCTCACATTGTATTTCTGCTGCAGATGGTACTGCAGATTCTAGAGTAATGCTAACAATTAATAGCTAGGTGGAAATTGGATGCTTACACTTTTTAGATTCTCTCTCTAAGTTTTTAGGAATGAGGGGGTATGACTTAAAAATTAAAGTAGTTACTATTGGTTTTTTGTTCATTTCCAAAAGCGTCTCATTTTCATTAAGAGCTCACTGACTGATCCACCTAAATGGCTGGGTTGATTAGTTTATAAGGCCACACAATGTCTCACCTTCAGTAGAAGTAGTCCGGGTCTCTGATGATTCAGAAAGCTTACCCTTACATTAGTTGCTTTCTTTGCTGGAGTCAGGTTGGTTTAGGATGGACATTAGTACCATTTTTCACTCTCCTGCCTTCAGAAGGCTAAACTCCAACCTGATGTATGGCATCATCCTGATGTATGATAACATTCTGTTGTTCATGAAGAGCAGAGCAGTCCAGATGAGCGGGGAATTAAGTCCAGAGAAATGCTGTGTTGGTATGACATACAATTGGAAGGGCTGAGAAGGTGCAAATAGCAACTTGGCTGGATTCTGTACCTAAGAGATCATTTAGCCTTTGCTTGATTCTTCTCCAGCAATAAAAGTAGCTGCAGGCTTGGGATGATGAGAACATGGAAAGGCTGTAAAAGGATTGGGAGTGTCAGACTGAAAATGCAGTTGCCAACTGTCAACATGACATCACATTTTGGGTTGCTGTTGGTTTGCTTTTTTAAAATGCAGGGCATGGGATACTGCAGAAGTGAAATTGTGTCCTGTGATCTCTGGAACTTTTCCAGAGCTGTCAAAGGAGTTAGGTGTGTGGTCTCTCTTTATACTTTTTCATTGTTTCCTTTTGTTTTTTTCTTCTGCTGTCTCAGATGCTTGGTTTAAAGTGTTCATACTGGTCGTATCTGGGTCTTTTCCCTCAAAGCAATGTTTCAATAGTCACTCTCCTTTTTAAAGCTTGCTCACATCTGCAGTCCAGCACACCAGTGTTTTGGGGAGTGACATCCAAACGTTTTACTGAACGCTTTCCAAACTGTTGCCTCATCTTGGAATAAATAAAAAAATATTGCCCCCTCTAGCAAATTCCTTCTTGGTTAGATTTACTCACAAGTAAGGCTTCCTGTATGTTCTGATGATGAGCAAATTCAGAGGGGAGCAAATGCTGGGGATGGGGGGGCCTTGGTAGAAGTTGCTTAGACGGAGTTTTTCTCTCCTGTGCAGTGATGGATTTTCAGCTTCAGACTATGCATGGCCTAGAGAAGGAAGTACTCCCTTGGCTTTATGTAAGTCTTGGGCCTTGTTTCTGGGTTTCCCTTTGCCTCTCTGCCTCTCACTGCCCAGCTCTGAGTGCTCCTATTGTGAGGCGTCTGCCTGGCTGCTGAGTGCCCAGAGAGTGGATGCTGTGGTCTTTTCTGTATACGATAATGGTTATTTCCAAAAGATTCCTTCATATGCCCTCAGCCTGTATGAAACTCCCATTCATCTGGAGGTCTGGCTGAGAAGTGAAGAATCAGATCCTAATTGGCTTTGAGATGCTAAATGCAAGCACAGATACATGTACATGGGCATCCACACACAAAACTTAGTTTGTGTGGAGTAAGCCAGAACAAGGAAATTCAATTTTGAAGCCAAACATTACAGTCCATATAATACTTGTCCTATTTGATCATCTATTTTCCAACAGTGCATCAGCAGAATGAAGCAGTTCCTAACATAACACGCACTCAACAGAGAGAAATATTTATTAACATTTACATTTATGCAGCAAAAAAAAAGTTAAACAGGGGTGAAAACAAGGTAGAAATTTCTCACATATGTTAAAAAAGTTCAATTGTGTATGATGGAAATGAAGAAAATGCTAGTCTGTTAGGTACAGCTGTTAAGAATGGGGCTAAAGGAGTCCTTCAGGGAAGCGTGTGAATCCCACCGGTTACTTCATTTGCTGAAAATAATTATCCAAAGAACTTTTAACTTTATTTCCTCCACTAACTCTCTCTTACTGTGCTTTCTCTGATTCATTTGGCAATTAAGGCTGTAGCTGAATTACTGTCAGAGTGAGCAGAAGCTTTCTCATGGAAGTCAGTGGGAGCTGGAGCTTCACTTGATGTGGCTGGAACTGTAACTCCCTTTTTACATGCTCAACAGAGATTTGTTGGAGTTTACATCTCTGAATAGTATTAGTGTGGGCTGTTTTAAATAGCTAACGTGTGTAGTGTCTTCATCCAGCTTTCTTTAATAAATCCACTGTGATAAGCAGCAGAGATTAATGTGTGGCTTAAATTACATAACATCTAGGCATCACAACATAACATGCAGATAAAAACATGATTAGTTGGTTTTAATAATATGAATGTAGCAGTGTGATTATCTTTTAGTTTAGAGCTTATTTTCTGTTGTTGGTGGTCTTTAATTATTCTTTATTTTTTTTTAAACATGCCTTTTCTGTATAGAAAACATGTAGAAGAGTGCATGGAGAGTAAATCATCCAAGGACAGTCCTTCAAGATGCTGCTGGAGTGCCAGTTTGACTTTCTTCCCAGCAGATGACGTATGACAGGGACAAGGTAGGTCTGGTTGCTTATTTTCTATTCAAGAGGGATGTGCTAATATTGATGCCCTTCTAGGTCTGCTCTGTAAGCTGCAAAAAATTAGGATCCACTTTCCTCTGTGGCTTGCTCACATGAGGCTGGCAGAAGTAAGGGTGAAGCTCAGGTTGGGTCTGGTTTTGGGTGGGTGCCCAGAACTGCTGTGAGCTCAGAGCAACAGGCACCCTGTGTGGCATCCTTGAGAATAGAGCACTTTATTTATGTATTTACTTAAATGGTGACACAAAAGGAGCAAAGTAGGTACAGTCTTGTTTGGTGTACACATACTGCTGTGTAAAAGGTAATTAGAGCTTCTGGGCAGCAAGACCAACTGTAATGGGACTGTGTGAAAGCTCCCATACACTCGTGTCCTCCTTCTTACAGTTGCACATAGCAACTGCTGGCAGATAAGCTCAGGAACAGGTCAAGCGTAGAGCAATCACCCTGTGTCCCTCTCCACACCCAGCAGAGAGTGGTTCGGGGATACACTGAGCCAGAGGCAACAATATGAGCCCTGTGTTTCAAGCAAAAATCCAAAACACATGTTAGCAATCATCTCAGATTGCTAAATTTTCAAAACAAATTCAAAATTAGGTTTGGTTCTCATAACTGAAGTGTTACGTCTCTCTTCACTGTATGGTCCCGCTGAGGTGGAGCTGAGCAGCCTCCATCCAGCTACCCAGTGGGGTAGCTGCACTGTGCTCCCACCTGGAGCCCAAATGGGGCACCTGGAAGGGCAGAACAAACTACCAGTGGATGGTGGCAGTCAGGATTTCAGCCCATTTATGATGAGCAACCTTTTTCTTGACTTTAAAAATCCGTTGGAAAGGCCAGAGTAGGTCCTGAGTGCTGAAATGATTTGGCATGAACAGTATGCGTATTAGGTGGCCTTTTCTCTTGACCTTTTGATCAGGGTTAAGTGCAATATCTATTTATACCCCTGCTGTTGAGGCACCTTCCCCTGCTCTTGCAGGAATGGTGGCTGCCAAGCTGAGTAGACCCAGAATGGCTGAATGCAGAAAATAAACATAACTGCAGTCTTCTTATTTCTCTGCTACAGAGCTCAGGTTCTCAGCAGATGCATCACTTTGGCCATCAGAAAGTCTTATAAGTAACACTGTTTGGTTTAAAATAAAAATTTAAAATAAATAAATAAATAACCAAAAAAAGAAACAGCCAAGCATTCCCTTCCCTGAGTGCAGCGTTAAGCCTGTGAAGCTGCTGGGAAGCTCCAGGCCCCATGTAACTCCTGAGCCTGGCTCAAGGGGGAAGTGACACTGGCAGACCTTTAGCAGCACGTCCCTGCATGGCATTTGGCACACACCAACCTCAGCATGCCCTGGGTTTGGCGTGCAGAGCTGAGCTGTTCTTTTTCAGCACAGCAATGCCACGTCTCTCGGAGGGAAGGACATACAAAAGCGCACTCAGCAGCTGCTCCTACAAACATTTAAGCAGATGCACGGTGATTGAAAGCAGGACTGGAAGGAAGGCTTTCTGTCCCTTTACAACCTTCTCCTAAGAAGCAGGAGTTTTTTCCCTTTGAATCATCAGCCCTGATACCGATGCAGAGGGGAGTGTCGTGAACATGTATTCCCTGAATTCAGATGAGGTAATGGTTGGCATCGAGGCCTGCACTGCCAGCAAAATGAGCTCTCTGACAGTCAGACAAGGCCTGTTCGTTCCTGCCGGCCTGTGAACTAAAAAAATGCCATTCATAACCTGAATATGAGCTGGGGTCATTTTATCAAACCTAGATCAGTACATTTAATGAGCTTCTTTGTTCGGTGGCAGGGCCATGCGGGGCTGGGCCTTGCCCAGCTCCCAGTCAGCACTGGTCCATGCTGGGAAGTGCTGGTGGGAGTGGTGGCCTCACTCTCAGGGCTCTCAGGCTTACCTGTGGCTGCATTCCAAGCATGTGTGCAGAGAGGCCTGCAATTCAAAGCAGGGAGAGAGGAGAAGAGGGAGGGGTAGGGATAGTTAGCAGGTACACTGTGATGTGGGAGTATATAAAAGACTGATAAATCAAGCTGGTTTCAAAACAACATGTTACTAGCTTGGTGTTCATGCACAAAGTACATTGCCAGTGGTTAATTCTTAATCTCTGTCCTGTTTAGAGTGTTCAGGCTGGACTCCCCACTACCAGGCAGGCAAGGACATTTGTGGGTCCAGCAAGGTTCATCAGTGTGTAAAGACACCTGATGGGAGAGTACAGAAAATATAGGCAGGCTCTTCTTGTTGGCGCTCAGTGAGATGAGAAGCGGCAGTCACAGAGGGAAGGATGGGAAATTCCATGTAAAAGTACAAAAATATTTTTTTATGGTGAGAGTGGTCAGGCAGCAGAATGATTGCCCAGAGAGGTTGTGGAGCCTCCATCCTTGGCGATACTCAAAATCCATCTGGACGTGGCCTCAAGCAACCTGCCTAGCTGACCTGGCTATGAGCAGTAGGACCAGAGGATCTCCACAGGCCCCTTCCATGCTCAGTGGTTCTCTAATTACCATTCTGTAAGCAGTCATTGTGCCCACATACTCAAACAATTAGTCCTTACTTATCTTACCTTTAGTTGGCTAGGGGTATTTAGGATCTTGGAGCTAAAGCCACCTGGTTAACACTGATGGGCTCTTCCCTGAGGGAACAAGGCCCTGAAATGGAAGCTTATTTCTTCCTCTTTTTGCCCTGCCCATCATTGAAGTTTTTATGTTTTTCATCCTTGTGCGTGAAGGAGGGAGCGGCGGGTGAAGCTCTTGTAGTCCTGGCATAGTTCACTTTAATTCCAGGCCCTGGAGTTGTTCTGGTTTTGCCAGACATCTTTCCATCTTGCTCTGCAGGGTTGTCCTGATTCCACCAGACATCATTCTTGCCTGCCTTACTCCTCCTCCCCTCATACCTTTCAGGCTTTACTGCTTGCATATATTTCCCAGTATTGCCCTTGTGCCTCTCTACTACCAGTCTCCCTCTGCCCCTCTGGTGACGTATTATTTATCTGTTTGTGCTTAGCTGTCTCTCAAAACACATACACACTATGGCTGGAGATGCTACAAAATGTGTCACTTGCACAGTGCTGCTGGCACGACTGTTTTAGCACTGTGCTGTCTGATTCCCAGGCAAGTAAACACTAATTTTACTGTATGCTTCTGCTACCAAGAGCAGTGGGCTTGTGCTTTGGTGACAGCCTGCACAGCTGCTGGTCTGTCAGGGCAGTTTCTGGGAATCCATATACTGCTTCATAAATTCAGAATGTCCATCTCATTAGCATGGGCGTAGTCTTTTTACCTATGGCTTTGTATTGTCCCAGCAAATCCATCTTCTTTGCTGGGGCATGTTTTCCCTGGGACCTTCAGAAAGATTCTGTCTCATGATTCCCTTCCTTCCTTCTGTCCTGGGGTTAGACTGAATTTGAATTCCTTGGTTTCATGGGAATAATCCTTCTTTGGATTAAAAGAAGTCTTCAGTCTGAGATTTACTTTGTACTTTTGCATCTTATGAATTATATCAGAATAAGGTGCCGATGAGGAACTCTACCCCTAGCTGTTGGCAGCAGTAATTTCTACTTGTATTATGTAAATGGAAGCTTTCCACTGGAAATTGCCTATCCATTTCCAGTGAAGGGATTCCACATGGCTTACAAGGAAGGACCCAGCAAGGATTCGGGCTAGGACCATGCTCATTACACAGCCATCTGCCCTTTGTGAAAGGATTTTCTACACCAGCCACAGAAGGACTAAATGGTGCAGACAATACACAGTCCACTAAGGATTCTGCTCTGCCATATGAAGGATGCTGTCAGTTAGGCTTCTGCTGACCGTACTGGGTTAGAGCATGTCAAAGAGAACTCCTGACATCATGGGATCCAAAGCTACAATTCTGGATAAAAAAAAATTTAATGTTCTTCTTGGAGACACAAACTTAATGGAAAGTGACAGTTTTCCATGAGGTGTTTTAGTGAAAAGGCAGAGGTACATGGCACAGGCTGCAGAGGGGATTCCTCATCTCCTCTTCTGCTGCTGGGGCTGGAGATACAGTCTGGTATTGCCTTCAACCACTGCTTCTTGATCCTCCAGAACTTGAGCCCAAAGCTCATGCAACCTGGAGAGAAGGAGCAGAAGCTTTTTGGTGGTAGTATCCCATAGTACAGCTCAGAGAAACTGTTCTTCACACATAAATCTCAGTCACGTATATTGTGTACCCGTCCAATGTTGATGCCTTCATTTGCCTACAATACTGGAATTTTGTTGGGAAACAAATTAGAAAATACTTGTTTCTGTCCCTTTTGAAGGAGGAATGAACGTATAGGAGATAGATTTTGAACTGAAAAGCTCAAGCAGTGTTTATAATCATGTTTATAAATTTGGCAGCAAGCTGGACAGAGCAACATTTTGGAAACAGTTGTCTTCTATCATCCCCAGCATGCTTTTGGTTTTGGCTCTGCTTCAACTAGAAGTTTTTCCATCTAGCCTGGGATTTTTTTTAATATTTCTTTTTATTTTAAGAGACGTGATCAGCTAAGAGTTATTATATGTTGTGTTCTCAAAGTCTTTCTCCCTGTTAGGATAAGATTGTTAGACCTGACCCATTAAAAAACAATCAAATGATCCTTTCAGCATCTTATGCTGATTTATCTGCTTTTTTGCACCTCATTCAGTATGGGCAAAATAAATAAAGAAATAAATAGACTGTTCTGTTTTGCTTTCCTGTCTGAGGATCATTTGCCAGTGCTTTGTGGAGAGGCAGCTGAGGGCTTGAGGCCAAATTTGCAAAGCAGCAGATGCCTGCAGATACAGAAACCTAAAAGTTTTTCAAGTTTTCTGCCCAGCCCCCATGAAATAATCAGTATCAAAGCAAGATAGGGATTATCTATTTAGATAGCAACGTTCAGAGTTGCATGTTAGAGTTTTGGAAGTCTGTGCCGTGACGGTGCCTTTTGGGCGTATATCCAAGAAAAAAAGAAATAGAAAAGGAAGCTGAAGTCAAGAATGCAC